GCCAACCTGAAGATGGGTCAGGCCAGGCCGGTGACTTGCAAAGCAGCCAACTTCAGCTTCTCCGCCTCTTCAGGGCAAGGAGGCTTTGGAGGCCTATCGCAAGGCGGTGGCCTTTGACCCCTCCAGCCAAGGCCTCGAACAAAAGTTGGGCGACGAATGCATCGCCTTGCAGCCTGCAGAGTACTGCAGCCCCAGGTTCGAACGTGGATGCCTTGGCCTCCGTGGCGCATCAGGCGGTTCCAGGGCACTCGACTCTCCAGATTCCCTTCTGTGGCCCTGCAAGTTGCACTCTGCGGACACCGATCTTGCGCACAAAGAGAAAGAAGAGGGCAACATGGTCCCTTCCTCGGCGACCCACAAAGACTAAGTCTCATTCTAGCCTTCGCGGACGTCGCGTCACTGTCACAAATCCTTCGGCAATCAGCTTGGGGCAGCCAGGATCGGATGCACGGTCTCTGGACACTTTTTCGTATCTACGAGTAGCAGAATCGTTAGGGCCGTTATGCTCTTTCAAGCGAGGCTATGCGCAGCAATGAGTTCGGCTTGGCCGTGGCGCACTACACAGCGGGTCTGGCTATGGTTCCTGCAGAGGTGCTCCGTTTGCGGGTGTGATATCCAAGAGGCACGCGGAGATGCGGACAGTCGTGTCTCGAGGTGAAGGCATCGGTTCCGGATGGCGTCCCGCCAGAGGACGAGCATGCCCTCCTGCGGTCAATTCCTCAAATCTGGCAAGAGCCAGAAAACTTCACCGAGGGCCGGGGCGGCCGGGCCAAGGTCAGTTCTTTTTTCCAACCGAGCGTCGGCCTTCAGCACCGGCCTCGGCCGCATCTCCAAAAGGGAGCGGTCCGTCCTCTGCGCCGAGCTCGAGGCCAGCTGAAGAACTGGCGCCAGGCCTCCTCCGATGCAGAGCTCGTCGCTCGGGGCGCTTTCTTGAGGGTTCCTGTGTGGATCCTTTCTGAACCTGAGGACGGCCGTGGAGAAGAAGAGCGACTTTGTCAAGGCCGCACGCTCGGGCTAGAGCTTTCTGAGCGTGCCAGGTCGTCTTATGTCCCACGCCCTCAGGCCCGAACTCGTTTCGGGACTGCCCTCCTGGCGTGCGGCCAAGTGGAGAAGGCCCATTTCGAATCTGATGGGGTCTGATGCATGGCCCTCCCGGAAGCAGGCTTATGTGCAGTTTGCCCACGCGCTGAAGCTGGAGTCCAACAACGTCGCAGCATTGAAGGGCCGTCAGGCATGTCGAAGTCAGCTGAAACCTCAAGGCCTCCAGTGACTGTGTCAGGCTTGCATCAGCCTTTTGCCCCTCTGGCGCACGGTGCCAGCCAGACAGCGCTTCCGCAGGGCCCCCGGGTTGCGACTTGTTCGCCTCTTTGAGGCCCACGTTGCTCCCTGCGATTCCCTGCGAAAGGTGAGCGATTCGGAGTCGACCTTTGGCGTCCAAAGGGTACCACCAAGGTCACGGGTCTGCAACTGCGAGCACGGAGTAGTGATCCTGCGATTTGGGCCTCGAGCTCCGCAAACAAAGAAAGATGAGAATGCAGCTTTTTTTCCGTTGTACGCTAACTATTCCAGGCCTCCATGGGCCAGATTCCTGTCTCCTACACTCGACTGATGAAGGGTTTCCGAGAAAGCAACATTGTGTTTGAGCCCATGGGAGAGAGACCTGCGTTCCAAGATTGAAACATCAAACTCAACTTTGAGAGGCACTCGAGACCTAATTGAGACCCTCGAGGCAACGTGAACATACTACTCGGGCTTTCGAATCAAGGTCGTTTGAATTTTGCTCGGGCTTCGGACTACTGATTATTTGAGTTATATGTGCGTGTCGGAAAGATTGTGGAAGAGATCCGGCAGAAGGTATACCGGTCGAGCAAATTTCCGAGGATTCGAAAAGATTTGATAGTGCAAGCTCTGCGAGAAAGATATCCAGCAGAGAACGTGTTCAATGGCTTTTCCCGCCTCCATGCTGTACAAAGGCTCTCTGACTTGCAAGGTTTACGCCATCTCCGATGTGCACTTTGACCACAAGTGCAACGAGGAGCAGCACCATGATTTGTAGCAGCCGGCGTCAGCGGGGTACCGGGGCGGACGTCGACCTGCGAAGCTAGGAGTGGGCGCACCGAATCGACGACTTCGAATTCCAAGAGGAGTCACTTGTTGGGGTCGAAATGACTATCAGAGGATTGGAACGCCTTGCTTCTTCACTTGAAGGATGTACTGATAGTTGCCGGCAACCTCTGTGACACAAGGCGGTCCTGCGCAGACCCGCAGCGTTTCAGATTTCCAGTCTTGCAATGGCAAGGAACGCGCTTGTGCGAGCGCTGACAACGCTGAAGGCCGTCGTTCAGTGGGTCCACTGCAGATGCTCCGCCAAGATGATTTCCCGGAAAGGCCAAATTTCGCCGAGTGTTCTACGTCCCAGGAAATCATGAGCTTTGGCTGAATCCCACAGAGGTTCCTCGCCTCGCATGTCGATATACCTGCAATATGATGCAAAGCCCATGTCGACATGTGCATGACCTTACGATTCTGAGCTGTTGAAGGCTACGAAGTACCCAGACTCATTGGCCAAGCTGCTTGGGATCATGGAGACTTGCGATGAGTGTTACACTGAGATGCAAGATGCAGTGCGCGCATGTGTGTGTGTGTGCGCCCTACTCGAAATCTCTCGGCTGAGGCTGGGTGTGGACTGCTTCCCTTCAGCAGTTTGCGAGGATCCCTCCCGACTGCTTGCCAAACTACGAGCTCCACCCTTCGTGCGGAATCGCAGGACATCTTTGTGGTGCCACTGCTGTCCTGGTACACGGCCGAGTTTGATGAGAAGGAGGGGTGGGCGTGTGATGGTTTGGATGATGGAAAGGCCTTGTGCATGAGCCCCGCCAGGATCCCTTCCCGGACCCGAATGCCAACTTCGATCACCAGTGCCGATGGCCGCTGGATCCTGATGCGCAGGCTGGAGCACATCGAAAAAGATTCGGAGGGCGACCGGTGATGTTGCGGGCTTTTGGGAGGTGTGGAAGTACATGCTGAAGCTGAACGAAGCGCACCTTCAGAGCGGGGCTTAAAGCTCATCCTGGTGTGAGCCGTGAGGGGTGCCCACGACCCTGGTAGCGATGCTAGTGGCTCCTGCTGCAAAGGCATCCGTACCACGGAAATGTCATTACCTTTTCGTCCCTCACCTGGTACATTCGGAGCCATCGCCGGTGTCGTTATTTGACTGCATGCTGCATGATGCTGCCTATGCTGGAGGCACTTCCTGCCGTCAAGGAGTTTGCCTTTCGCTGCCTTCGGCCGTGCTGCGAAGGACCACTGCTTTTGCAGCATGTCAATTCTTGCAGGTTGTCGCATGCTTTTCTGCTTGAACTGCCGTGAGAGGCCATGGGATGCGAAGATCTCAATGATCAGGCAGCCCTTTTCAATCAGTGAAGCAGCATCCGTCGATAGCTTTCACAGAACTGAGGTCAGGTCCATCCGCTTGCGAAACAGGGTGCATGCCTGTACCTCAGACATCAGCTCAAAGTGCGGCCTTGCGGTTGCAGTTGTGAGTGCAGCTTTGCATACGTTGATCGCAGTTCAGGTCTATGGCCACTCGAGCAGGCACTTCTCCCAGTTCGAGGACGGAATCCTGCTGGGGCCTCGACGGTTGAAGCTGGAGTCATGGCTTTCAGCTTCTGAGCTAGCCGCTGCTAGCCTTTGCCTTGGTGCCTGGAATCAGGTACGTGAACCACTTCCATGGCACCGAAGGCGGACAAGCCGAGCGATCGCCCCTTTTCCTAGTCCACGATGGCAAGGCGCCATTTGGCGGCAGGGTCCAACCGGCCTCTGGGAGAGACCCGGCTTTCTGCAGGCCATCGTGAAGCGAGAAGTTGAAATTTACGCTGGGCCGATGAGGTTGTGAATGAGGCCATGCTCGGATCCAGCAAGTCCGTACAGCAGCCTTCGTATCTGTTCAACCTTTCAGGCCCCCTACAAGTCCGACTTCGCTGAGCGAGTCGGTTCTGCGTCTTGCGCAGCGAAAGTGCCACAGATCCCGACCAGAGCCCAAAGTTTCAGAGGTGACTTGTGGAAGAATGCAGACACAGGCTGCATCGGATCTAGCGTGCACTTGCTAAGCTACACGGTGGCTTTTGGTGCTTTTTTGCCCATGATGCTGCCTTTGCTCGGACATGCAGCGCCTGTTCGCCTGTTTTCCGAAACGTTCAGCAGCTTGTGCAATTGCACGCTGCTCTCTGCCGAAGAAAGGCAGATCTGTTACTAGCATAATCCCTCCCCTTCCGATGCTCTGGTAGTTTGTCGTCTGCCTGTTTTCCACGCCGCTGTCCCGTCGCTTCTGCCGAGTGTTACTTTGCCTCTTCCCCTGCAGCTCCTGCTGCTCGCCCCGTCCGTGAAAAAGGCAGAGATGGTCAGTGAGCTGAACAGTTGTCTCAAGAAGCCATGGGTGGCGTGTGAAGACCCACATGCATCAGAAGTTCGCCGCAGTTCGGTGAACGACGTCACAGCATATTCTTGTGCCCGATTGCACCAAGCCAGCGAGTTGGCTTGGGATTTCTGACGCTGGCCTCTGCTGGAGAAAGCGATGGAGCAATATGTCCGGGTTGCAGATGCCCTGGACTGAGTCTCTGAGCAAAGCACGTTAAAATTCGACAGTTCTCGTCGCATGAGGCGAGGGCTTGGATGAAGCACAACGAGGCTGGCCGACCCTCCGCCTTTCCGTCATCGCGCCTTCTATCGCCTTCTCGCCGTATCTCAGTCTCTCGTTGCACCTGCACAGAGGCGTTTCCTGCCTTCCCATCCCCACCATCGTCAAGTCGGCTTCAGAGGCTCTTCCTGTCACGTGCCACGAACACTGCAGCAAATTTCGAAAGTTGTGGCAAGGAGCAGTCGCAGTCCGAAACGACAGCAGTGTGCTGCGTTCCCAGTCCTCAATTTGGTGGGGGTGCGCCTTCCCATTGATGGCATGATGAAGTGCCGAGGGAAAGTTGCGCTGCGAACCTGTTGGCGCAATGCTGCGGGAGCCCAAGGCTCATCAGGCTGCGCCCTCTGTTTCTTTGACTCCAGTTACGAGGCCCGACCTCCCCGAATCTGAGGAGCTTATCAAGCCGGGTACTGAGTCGAGTGATCTTCTATACGGTTTTAATCTTTGTGCACGTTTTGTCCGAACGGGGGTTCAGATACCGCGAGTACGATTTGCTGACGGCATCGAAGCTCTCAAGACTACTTTGATTCTGCAGACGTCCTTGTAGGAGCTGGGAGGCGTCGATAAGACAGTGTTCGATGAAAGAGCTCTGCTGTGAGGCCACATCGATCTGCCAAGCTCAAACTGCTCGAGGCCTGGCCAGCGTTGTCCAATGCGGCGCGCGGTCGTTGAAGAGATATGCAGAATGCGAGGGCGGGGAAGAAGATGTGGAGAGCCCTTCGCTCAAAGGACCTAGCAAGATCGGAGTGCGACAAGCACGAGCTCCAGCTCAGGTGATCCGTCGCTCCGAAATGCCGACCGTTTTGCCGGGGTCACAGAAAAGAGCCGCCTTGGAGGGAACGGGGTTGGGCAAATTCAGGTCGCAAGCGCGGAGCTGCCCAAGAATCCCTTCGCCACCGTCGTGGCCCTGGAGAAGGGCTGTCGCCGTCGCCGTCGTCGGCTGCTGGCCGCAGCCCGCCAGGCTGAGCCCACCGGGCCCGGTCCCTCGAGAAGGTTGAGGCCGAGCCGAGCCGCATCGAGCTACCGGCTCCCGCCGTTGGCCTCACGCGGCCCACGTCGCAGGCCGGCGGACTTCCGCGCAACTCTGGAGCTCGGGGCCACGTCGCCCGACCTTCGCGCGTCGCAGCTCGGCCCAACCCCAGCCGTGACCGTCTCTGCGGAAGCATGCGGCAGAAGCGGAGGTGCCGACGCAAAGAGCCGTCACCCTGTCTTCGAAGGCCCGAGCCTTGGAGGCTCGGAGTTTGAGCTCGGCGGAAGGACGCAGTGAGCTGCTGAGGACCCTTCACTCCGGGCAGGTGCCGCTGCCAAGGCCCGGGTGCAAAGGCACCCGATCACCGCAAGCCCCAGCTTGCAATTTCGGAGAGGCAGACCATCTGCTCTTCACAACCAGCGCTGCCCTATACAGCTGCCAGGAGCCGTCGCGAGGGTGGCACCTTCTGAACTCTTTACATGCTCTAACTTGTGGGACTCCTTTAGCGAGTTCCCCGTCAGAACATGACGAAAAAGCCTAGGGCTCGAGCCGCGGCGTTTTTGGCAGTTCCCGGAGGATGCCCACCAGGCCGCCTGCTGTGGTCCCAACCTGGAAGTGGCCGGGATTGGTTCAAGTGCCGCGAGCTTGGCAAGAGGAATGTCTGAGCGAGACCTGTGCCGTGCAGTGCGAGTCCTTGATTTCCAGGACAGCCACAGCCCCTGTTGCCCAACTTGTATCACCTCCACTCCAGAGCAGGCCGTGCTTCTCCGCACAGTTGAGAGAAGTGCTTGGAAATACTTGCATCATCTTGGTTCGTTGTGCTGCATCATCGATAGACGCAGCTGGCAGGAATCTTCCAGAGCCTACGGACGATGCGCCGTCGTCTCAGAGACCCTGCTTGGTTGGGCCTTGGGCGTTGGCGGAAGACGGTGCTGACATCACAGGCCCTCAGCGGCCGCCAGGGCGTCCCTCGTCGCTGCATTCCTGTCGCCTCCGTTTGCCTATAGGCCTGCTGAGCATAAGACTAGTGACTAGAATCTCGTTAGATGAACGTCTCCGTAGGAACACGCTGGCAGATCTCTCAACTCGAGTGCAAAGGCTGGGGGGATGCTTCGGGACGGAAAGCTCTCCGGCATCAGTACCAGCTACAAGCCGGCCAGGACCAGCCCGGCTGTCGAAGTTGGGGCATACTCGTGGCCACGCTCTCGGAGACAAGTGATTTGCCTCACGAGATTTGTGCAACACGAAGGCAGCCAGGAATGGCGCATGGTATTGCCGAGACAGTGTCGCGTGCTGAGTTGCCGGACTTGTGTTGCTTAAGTTTCGCCTCCTGATGCTATTGATTCCTCAGCTACACGCGAGATGTGAAGACAGCAGTTTCGGCGGCAAGGGCTGCAACCTTCCCACCAGTTAGTCACTGCAATCGAACATGCAGCTTTCCCCAACAAACCGTCGTCTCGACGAAGTTCGCCAGAGATATCCGGTTCGATCCCTCTTTCCTCTACAGGCTTACGTGAACCTGCTCTATGGTTTTGCACATACGAGAAGCAATGATCTGCAACGCGCTTTCTTTTGCACATTTGCCGGTTTTCGCCCCACGCCGACATGAGCCCAATTTGGCCCTGCGGCCAGCAGCCGGAAAGGACGCGGCCTCGAGCAGCCCGGAGTCGGCAACGCTGGACAAGACATCAAAGAAAGAACGAGGAGGTACAACATCAGAACGTCGCAGTCGCGTTGTGCTGCGCCACTGTGGCAAGCACAAGACTAGTCAGACAGGTCGCTCCAAAGCTGAAGGGCTTTACTGGTTGCAGAAACCCGATGTCGAGACGCTATTTGTGTCATTTGCCTGCGTTTGGAATTTGACAGCCCCATGCAGGAGCAATGTCGGTATCTCACGAGTAAGAAAGTTTGTTCGACGTGGCAATCACAACTGCGCGGATGTGCTGATGTGCTTGGATCTGCAGGAAGCTTGCTGACGAACCTGTGCCAGGGTCTGAGTTGGCAGGGAGAGCAGATGGCCAAAAAAACACATTGATGCTTTTCAAACTGAGGAGAGATCCGTTCAGCACTGCGAGGCTGCAGATCTCGAAAGACCGGTCAGAGCTGAATGAGTTTTTCGTGTTGATGCAAGCAGCTTGCAGGGAGAAGGAGGTTCTCGGCTCACCACTGGTGACCAGAGCGAGGGCTCCGCCGGGGCCACTCGACGTGCTGCGAGCTGTCAGCCGTAAGATGCCACTCGATGTGCGAGGTCGGCCTTGGCAAGCCCGCCCCCCTCGGGCACTCTGAGGCATCCTCGCATCCCTCCGTGCCCTCTTAAGAAGGCTTGCGCAGTCGTGTGGCTTGTAATGCAGGTGTCGCGCGACCCTTGGGTCTCTGGTGGCCCGCCAAAGAAACGCGGGCTCACTGCCATGCCTGAGCAGGCGGACCCGAGACTCGACGGTGTCAGTGTGCTACTGGGTGCCAAAGGGTTGGGAAGCGGCTGCAGGTCTTCCGTCTCCAACACATGCAACCAGGCACCTCCTTCATCCAGCATTGGAGCTTCAGCATCTTTGTACGCGCGCGCGCGTGTGTGTGGGTGTGTGTGACGACCGTGCCGAAAGTTGAGGCGCATGTCAAAGAATCTGCAACCGACGCGGTGAGGGTGAGGCCATGTTGTCGCGTTGCGCCATTAGTCAGCGGATGTTCTAAGCTTAGAAGCGTTACTCCTCTCAAGGATACAGCCTCCGAAGTACTGGGCCGGTTGCCTCAGACCGGGGGTGCTGCCACTGCTTGCAAGCGTGTGAGTCGCCGACCTGGCCCACACGGTCACAGTTCGTGGCGGCAAAATGCTCAGGTGCAGGCTGCTCCAGTCGTGGACGCGTCTGAGCAAAGTCTCAGACCATCCTGGAGCCAGAAGCTGGCACCGGGAAGACGGAGTCTCTTGCCGAGCTCTGTCTGCTGGGATTGTTCCGTTATTCCCCGAGTCCACATGCACGCATCGCCACCTGTGCGAGTGATTCTGGGCCAGGCTGATGCTGGATTGCAGGGGTAAAAGAAATCCGGGTGTCATTGAGCCTTTGTGCTTTGTCGGACCCGTCCTCTGCCAGGCTGTACTTACGCAAGAGCAGGGACGTCTCGAAGTTGAAGTGCTCGTCTGTTTCGGGGCTCTGGAATAAAGGTTGCCTTACATGCTCGCCTTGCTTTCCAGCTGCATGTAAGATCATGTAAGATGTGGCTGATCCTGCTGGTCGTTGTGCCGTAGCGATCCTGTGGAGCAGAGGATCCCGACAGCGACTGTGCCGAGTGCACCAGCCGATTCGAAAATTCCACTTTTCTCGTACACTTGTGAAGCCAAAGAAGCTTTGGTAAAACTTCGACACGGCCTGGTTGTAAGCACAACACCCTTCGGCAAAACATCGCTTCGAACGAGCATCGACTTGGAGGAGGTAGATGCTCCTCGTCAGACGCCGTTGTTCTGGGCTTCAGTGCGAGGAAAGCTGGTGACGGCTAGCTTTCTATTGAGTTCAGGATTTTAGAGACAACCTCGGGAACACCGGATCATTTTCGCGATAGTAGCAACCAGCTGGAGGCGGACAAGGCCCGCCGTAAAAGATCCACGGCCCGTGCATGCGAGCCTCCTAGCGATCGTCGAGTGAAGGAAGGATGACAGCATGCGTGAGCAATTACCTAAGAAAAGCAAGCGAACACATCGTCCTGGAAACAAAGAGTATCTCAGCAGTTGATTGAGCAAAGGTATGTATGTATGTATGTGTATGTATGTCTGCATGTATGTGCATATATATATATATCTCGCAGTTTCTGAAACTGTTATGTATGCGGGTCAGTGACTGGCTGTTCCAAGTGTCACCACAGCAAGCAGCTGCAACACAGTCAGTCCGGATCCACGTCCTAGGAGGATCTGGGACACAAACAACCTGGGGGGCAGGTCAACTGCGTCATGCGCAGGAGAGCAAAGCAGAGCGGCTGTAAACCGAGGGGAGGATACCTAGGACCAGCGAGAATCTAGGGCGCCAAGACGGCAGAAGGTGCCCAAGCCTGCTCCCACAGCTCAGGCTAGATTAAATGGAGCCATGCATACCACAGGGACGCCGTCAGCCGGGAACTATGCTGCGTTGATCCGTGGGCAGATCCGTGGGCTGGCCGAAATGACCCCTGGTCGCAGTCACAGACGCCTCAGCAACGCACCCAGATGCGGCGGAGAGGCGCTCGGAGCAGGGAATTCGGTGCCGCACGCAGCTTAACCAAAATCAGCAATGTACAAGGATGTGGATCGTGAGCAAACTGCTGGCCTGGATTGGGCCTGGATTGGCTCGATCAACGTGGCAATGCAGAGCTATATCCGAAGTTGATTGCTTGAAGCGTATTTGTGGTTCTCAGCCACGCCTCTCTGCAGCCGAAGTAGCCTCCTTGGCTTCTTGCTGGATCTCAGCGAGTGTTTTCAGCAACCGTTTGAACAATGAGGCCGCGCGCTTTTCTGGCCGTCCAAATGTTAATCGCCAACCTCGAATTTTGTGTTGGAGGGTATCACTTCACCACCTGGATCATCATCAAGAATGTTCTGGCAGTACTTTTCGTTCTAGCAAAAGGTGTTTTCACTCGTCGAAGGAATGTGCGGCCAGGCCACATCTGGTCAACGTTCTTGATGTGGTCTGGCGCCACACGTAGAATGGTCACGCTGCAGCCCTGTGATCTCCGAAACGTTGTTTTTTGACGGATGGTTTGTGCTTGCATTCTACAGACTGGTGAAGTCCAAGCTCCGTTCTCTCAGTCATCCTGCTCTTTATTTCGTAGTTTTGAAGAAGGCATCTCGGGCTTGTCAGCCTTGGGCTGCTCCTGGCCCAGACAGGACGTGTCCTGAATACAGAAATGACGAGCCTGTCCCCATTGGAGAGCTCGATGCGGTCGAAAGAGCTTCACACGGGGATGGCATGTCGCAGTACATTGGCAACGCCCCGCTTAAATGTCGGTCGCCGCGTCAGGTCATGAAAGAGAAAGACTCCCAGAAGCTGAAGATGTGCAAGACCGTGCCCAAGGCATTTTCCAAAGGATGCGCCGGAGACACTGGACGTTTAATTTTCGAATGTGTGCAGGCGACGGTGCGAACGGCCACCAACGTGATGGAAAAACTCAGCGCGTTACAGGCCACCCCGCACATCTCGTCGAGAGACAGGACGAAACTAATACGGTCTGTGCATTTGCAAGACGCAGGATCTGCAGCATCCGCACATCTCTAGCATCACTGATCTGATGGAGGACTGCATACCGTAGCTAGCTGCACGGTGGCTTGCGCGAGGGGCATGTGCCATCTCATGTCCGGTGCAGGATGACAAGAACTACTACATCATCAGCGATTACTATATGGGCGGTGATGTCCAGGCAGGCTGTCCGCAGTCACGAAAGCTAGCTCTTCAGGAGCTTGCGGGAGTTGTCGGTAAGAAAGACTGAAACAAGAACCGGCTAACAGCGGCTAACATGTCATTCTGGGGCCTGTAGGTCTGATAAATCGGAACTTAATATGACATCAAGGCATGTAGCTGGGGTCACGCCCCTTGAGCAATGGTAGGCCCCCCTATACAGCTGCTGCTGCGCAAGAGCTTTGGTTTAGACAACTTTCTGTAGCCAAAACCAAAGGCTACATGCAAAGACACATGGTAGCAAAGCAAGAGACTCGTTCTTGGTTTAGAGGTAGTTGCCTTCCTTCGTTTGTCCGCGCTCTCCTACTGCCCCTTAAACCCTAGTCCCACCAGCTTACGTGGCCCCTCGCAATGTCTTGCTCGGACTCCATCTCATGCTTTTGGCAGGACTGGCTAGAGAAAATGGACGAGGGCAATTGGTTGCAGGCACGTTGTCTTCCAATCTGCAACATGCGAAATGCCGCCACAACTAACACATGCGAAGGAATCGACATGTGCAGCATACGTGCGCCAGGCAGGTTGAGGGCTTTGTAGCTGTCAGATGGGCAAATGCAACTGCGTCCAGGCACTGCTAGCCTTGTGCCACAGCCATTCGGCACAGGCCACTTCTGCACGACACTCGGAAAGCTGGACACAGCGCAGCCCGGTAGCCCGAGAGGTCTTCCATCGTGACTTGAAGCCCAGCAACCTCCTCCTGACCACGAAGCTGCCAGATGCCGTCATCAAGGCATGCCTTGGCCCTGGCAAAGATGGCACGCCCCCATCTCCTCGCCTTTTGTCGCAGGTGGTGGACTTTGGCCTTGCGAACATCCTGGATCCCGACAACGCGTCCCTTGGCCCCTGTTTGGCCTCGGCGGCTTCGGTCTGCCTCTGTCTCGGGCGTGTGTCTGCAAGGATTATTCAGAAGCACCCGAACGAGTACACGGTCCCAGAAGCTCGGGCCCCAATGCTTTGAGTCTCGGATGCAGGATGCAGAATTTTGTTCCACGCCGATGCCAGATTTTAAAGAACTCCGAGCCCATAAAGCACGGCGGTGCCGACATGTGGAGGCGCTGATGCCCGCAAACGCAGCGGTGCATCGTGCAATGAAGCAAGCGACCATAGTAGTGCCACACAATCGTGCCACACTGTCGGACCACAGAAGACCTTGGAGCATCGAAGCTCTGAATGCGCCAGTGTGGGTGCCATCGCCCATGCGCTCCTCGTGGGAAGCGGTGCCAGTGTGAGCTCAAGGAGCCGTGAGAGCTGCAACGTGCGCAGCGTGCTCGTGCTTCTCTCCGCAGGAGAGGCTGGGGCTTCAGCAGGGATGACGAAGGCGCCAGAAAGACACATCCGTTGCCCTTGGAGCGCAAAAGGCGACCCTGACACTGTCAGGATGGAGTGAGAGAAGTCCCATGGCCCGAGACTTCGTCCTGCGGCTCCTGAGGCCTGGCCGACTGCGAGTGATCCGCAGGGCTAAGGCCCAAAGAAAAAAGGCCCAACTAACGACCAACGGTGACAAAACGGCTCTGTGTGTGGTGGACTTTGGCCATGTTTTGGTCAGCGGCGGTCCCTCAAATCATAAGCATCACGCTTGGCCACGGTTTCGAAGCGTCTTCTGAAGTGACAACACAACTTTTCTTGCATCGCAGCTGTGAAGAGAAGAGCACAACATGCTGAACATGCTTGTTGAGGCCTGCTGGAGAGCGGCCGACAGCCGCAAAAGCCTTGCATCATCCGTGGCTGAAGGCACTCGGCGCAGCGGTCCAGCTATGGGAATCACAAATTCAAAGCTCAGGGCATCATGCCCATCAGCACCATCAATACAAATCACAGTAACACGAAAGAAGCCAGGGCCAGCAGCTTAGAGACTCGAAGGTGCCAGGTTCATGTCGTATTCCGCTGGATGCCTGTGTGCTGTGGCTTCGCCTTTGCCAAGGAGCTTCGGTACAAAATGCTGTGCTACTCGTTGAGCCTCATACTGTTGCCTGCCGTGGGTCCAGAGCCCAGAATGCAAAGCGCCGCGCCATTCGACGAAAGACATGCCATGCCTGACCGCAACAACTTCTTGCAGTGCCACACCGGGACTTCGATCAGCTTCGGACAGCCTTCCAGCAGGACAGTCACTGCTTGTGCAGTGCGCTTAAAGTCCATGATCTGCTCTACGCGCGCTCGGTGCGCAGAGCGACCTGGACCGCGATGGCTTCATCCCAAAGGCCATCGGACTGAGGCCATCGGAGATCTCTGATTGGCAGTAGCACTGCAACAACAAAGTCCCAGGCTGCTGCTGAGCCGGTGCAACCTCAAGGAGGCAGGATTTTGGAGTGCCGGCCGGCCGGCCGTTTCAGCACGACCAGCATCCAACAACTAAGCTGCAAACCTTAAGTGCCCAGTTCCAGACGCAGCCCCTCCCAATTCCGTAGCTGTCTGGATTCAGCAACTCTTCGGCTGAGCCATAAAGAAAATGTCGTTTTTCAGCAATAAACCCGATCCGGTGTCAGTACGTAACTGTTGTCGGGCTTTCTGATAGTTTCCGCCTCGATTTGCATTCAGAGCCTGGCGTCGACGTTCATACTGCAGGGAGCCGCGAAGTACAGCGGACGCTCCCTTCGGGACAAGTATAGCTTGGGACAGCCACAAGCGCTCCCGGTATGCCTTCTCAACGATTCGGCTGTTGCTTCCTTCCAGCAACCCTGTGGTTGGGCAAGCACAACGTGCTTCGATCTCTGAGGGTCTGATTAATTGTGAGCGCTTTTGTTCTTCGTCGCGGATCCAGGGCAGAGGGAGATAAGATCAGGATTGGTGCCTGTGAGAGCATGCGGCATCGAAAGGGCTTTATTAGGATTTAAATCGTTGCGCTGCTGTCATATTTTCGGCCGTATTGCTGGTGTGGACATGTGTGGACAGGCAGTGGTGCCGGCCATGAACATTGTCGATTTGGGACGCACGGACACGCAGCCTGCCCAGTTAGCATGTTCGTCTGTCCAAAGAAACCTCCCGAGAAGTGCTCGAGGTGCGACCTTGCTTCGGTTGCAGCGGCAGACCTGATTGCCAGAGAGTGAGCCTCCTTCATTGTAGCACCTGTTTCCTTGTGACCCGAGTCTTAGAGCTTGTTTGCACAGGTTTTTCGCAGCAGGACCAACCTCAGCACCTTTAGTCTGTATCCCGGCAAGGACAACCACTCCCTCGGAAGGAATCGTCTGCCGTCCTAAGGTGGGGCCTTTTGGCGCCACAGATCTTGCGCCCAGACTCATCAAGCGCTTTTTCGAGGTCCAGCCAGGGCGGTGCCCGACTGGTGTGTCAGTAGCCGGATTGGCTTTGCATGCCAGGTGTTCGCCGACAAACAGAACGGTGCTCCTGCAGCCGCGCCGCCTCGTCTCAGACTGTTTCATCCAACGTCACAGAGATGCGTCTGACAGAATCGTACCGTGAGTTCTGTACGCCCCTGCCAGGCTGCTGTCCATCTTGGAGCCATAAGGACCAAGACGCGAACTGCCACGGCTAGAGACGTGGAGGTGGGCTGTTTGGTCTTCTGACAACCGCGCCGTCAAGCATCGTCCTGCAAGAACGCAACTCAGGCTTTCGCTGGCATCAACTACGAGGAGCTGCTGACATGCCTCCCTGAGGAGCGCGGTCCGACATGAACATCCGGTGTTGACTGCGATCCGCTACCTGCGCAGCAGCCGTGCAGGTCGGAGCGCCTCAGGGCCTCTGCACGGGGGAAGCTGGCAGCTAGTGAGCATATCCAGGAATCCAACTCTAGCCGGGTGCAATGAGTATGTAGGCCGAAGCACAATATGGCGGAACCATTCGCTTTGGGTGGAGCTTCCACATGCAATGGCGCCAAGCCCGGAAATCAAGCGAAAGAGAAGTCATCAAGTCCTTCACCAGAAAGCCGTGAAGCCGGCATGTCCCCTTGTTTGCGGCTCGCGGTCTGAGTTTGCCCGAAGCGCAGAGGTCTTGCAGTCCAAGCGTTTCTTCGTATGGAAGAGAAAAGTAGAACGACGGGCCGTTTGCTTCGAGCATGTTACGATGTGTGCCTCCAGGACACCATGATCGATAGTCAGCTCCTCATGACTCAGGTGGGCACGGTGGGGACAGTAGTCACAAGTGGGCACCGCCTGTGTTGCGTCTGCTTCCTGTGCAGCTCTCGGCGAGCGCCGGGCGCGGAACGCCCGAGACCTCGGACATCCTCGGACCGTTCGCCGTTCTGCTCAACCGGCAGCTCACAGAGGATTCAACTTAGGCCCCTGGGCGTAGACCAAGAGCTGTCGCCGTTGAGAGCAGAGTCGCCTTGGGAGTCTTCCTGGCTGAGCTTCGGGATCTCCAAAGGTTGTCGACTGCTCCGTCCTTGCGCACGCCAGGTCCGCGTTCCTGGACTTCTTCGGCATTTTTTACACATGCAGTGCGTCTGGCGCTCTGTGGCACGAAGAGGGAGTGGCAGTTCTCGATGCCGTGTCACGCAAGGTCAAAGCGAGATGAGTCGCCTGGTTCCATCCGAATGTATTGATGAGAAAGGAGAAGTCCCCAGCTTTTAGACAAGCTTCTGAAACCGGAGCTTCTGAGCAGGACGACGTCATCACAGAGACCCTGAGATCACAGAAGCGAAATGCTTGTGTGAGAGAAGTGGGTCAGGTCTCTGTTGTTCCGCAGATAGTCCGCACCTACATCATGAATGTTGCCGTATATTGGCAAATGAAGCAGTGCTCACAACGGCAATTTCAGGACCAGAGCAAGACTTTCCAGAACAGTGATAGTGGCTGGAGTTTACTACTCGTAGTGTCTGTTCCCCTATTCAGTGCATGGGAGCGCAAGCCTCCGTTGGGGCGTCGCGGGATGCCCCGAGGGCTGAAAGCCAAATTAGGCGCGGGCGCAGGCCTGCAGCCTCTGAGCCTCTGAGCCTCTGAGCCTTTCCGGCCCGGCTCGATGAAACAGCGGAAGACTGCTCGCTGCTGCGCTGCGTCTGCAAGCATCTGAGCCGCTCACCTCGGCTGCCTCCGCTTTCCCACAAGGAGCACGCTCAAAGCATTCCTCAGCCCCAAACGGGCTAAGCTTGACAGACTCAAAACAGAGTCTTGCGTAGCTCATACTCGTAGCATGAATGTAGACTCTTGCGTGACCGCCAATGGCTTCCTCCAAGCAGTTGGCCGCGTGGCTCCTTATTGGCCTCGCCACTGCAGGCTTGCTGCTGCCAGCTTTGATAATCCTGGTACTTCGACCACAGGAAGCGAGGAAAGCTGCCAGGCTAAATTCAGGACAGTGTGTCAACTGTCGCAAAGCCTCGCATACCGCAGTCAAGGTGTACGAGGCAGTTCATACAACAGCCCCCCTCGACATCTACCTGGTGTTGGACGCCAGTGGATCCGTCGATAAGAGCGACTGGCGTGAGAGCTTGCTGTTCGCAAGAGACCTGTCAGTTCAACTGAATGCATCTGTCCCGCAGTTCCGTGCTGGCTTGGGGCAGTTTTCCAGCAACTTCCATGACATCTTCCCGGTGAGCGAGGATGTGTCTCTGCTTGCAGCACTCCCTCAGGGTGTTGAGAAGAAAAGTGGTCGCACCGAAATGGGCAAAGCTTTGTGTGGGAATTCCTTCGACAGCAGCACCAAACAGGAGGCCGGAGCGGTTTTTCTTCACTTTGCAGTACCAGCCAGGGAGCAAGAATTCTGCGCGGCTGAGCGTGCTACCAGGAGGCCAAAGATCGCTGTGTTGGCGGTGCCTACGGCACGCTGATGGCAGCGCCGGCTCAGCTGCCAGGGGATCTACCTCCAAATTGCGAGGAGCTGTCCAGTCCGCTGCCAAGACTAAGGCCAGAAAGGAGACGATTTCGTGTCTTATGAATGCTTCTGTCGGCAAGGTTCCCGCCTGATCATCTTGGTCACTGATGGAAGGTGCGATCGCACCAAGTGCTGCGTGTGCCAAGGCCGCTGTCGTTGCTTTGCAGGCCTGGCCCGGACGACAAGTCCAAGTTGGCATCCGCCTTCTTGAAGTCGGCAACCAACGTCACTGTCCTGGGCATCTTGGTGAAGCACGATGCCAAGGCAGGGCCTTTGAGTGTACATTGACATGCCGCATGTCCCTCCTGCGCTCCCAGGCCGTGGAGGGCGAGATCCTGTACGCTCTCTCTTCCTGCTGCCCAGCGGAATCCATGACGGTCGCTGGTACCAACGACGTCCATGTGGCTTGCGAGCTCCCGATGAATGAGAGCTGCCATTACATGGCTAGCATGAAGGACGTCGGGAAGCACACTGCCGCGTAAGGCTTTCTGCTGCTACTGTCGAAGGACTATGCTGCTCTTCGGAGGAGTATTGATGGAATTGTCCAGACCCTCGGTGACGAGCTCCAGTGCGAAGGACTGGCTCGGCAAGACAGGTGTCCTCAATGTATCACTGGGGGAAGGGATGGAGGCTTCTGCATGTTGCATCCCTGAGGAGTACAGGAGTCGGTCTCTTTCCTGCCGGACTCGCGCAGCTTGTGGTTTCTGGTGCTCCTGTTGCATGGCTTCGTTTGGTTTCATATAACGTATGGAGTCGCCTAGCCTAGCCGCCCAAAATAACCTAATCCGGTGAAATACACAACCTAATACGGGTTGAAACGTGATGCAACAAAAAACCGTGTGTTCCTTCATTATCGGCTAGGTAGGTCGAAGCTTAGGATCATTCTTATCGTTATCGTTCGACAGAGCAGCCGAGCAGCTGTTCATCTGCCATATCGTGGCCATTTTGGCAGAAGCATTTGCTTCCAGTTCTCGCTGGCTTCAGCTTTTTCACCAGGGCCTGGAAATCAACATCGTTCCGTCCAGCTCATGGAGGGTCAGTGGGGTCATCACTCCTGCGGCTATTCTCAGTTGAACTAGTGAAACGGTGAGCTGTTGGAAATGGTTTCAGGGCCCTACCAATCGAACATGGAATGTCATCTAGTTCGGTCTAGTCTGATAAGTATAGTACCAGTATGGTATCATATAGTACGGCATGGTCAGATCTGGTTTCACATGATGTGCTGTGGTTTGATTTGGTGTGATGTGGTACGATAGAAAAAGTCACATGGCATCATCTGATGATATGGTTCATGCCATGACATAAGGTAGGTGGTATAGTCTTCTACAACATCTGATGTATGACACTAACATATGACACGTGATGGATGGTATATGACACATGATATATGACGTATGATGCAGGATAAACGGTTTGTAATGTAACTTTGCTTGTCGTATGTGCGACATGAAATGATATGCGAAGTTCATGTGAGAGCAGGCGACAAGGTTTGATAATAAGCTGGTCTGATGTGCTACGGCGTGGCATGATTTGGATATGGCATGATATGATATGGTCTGAGGCAATAAGGGGCTTGCATACTTGACATCGGCTCTGTGTTGTTGCAGTGGCTCGCGGCCTTGAGGTTGCCTATACTACTGCATCAGATCTGGCAGCGATCTTTGCACACTCCTCAGTCTGCTGCCGAAGGCACAGGCAACAGTCCTCCTTGCCCCGCAACCCTTTTGCGTTTCTTTGTCTCAGGCTCCGGATCAGTAGCTCCTACAAGCCCAAAGAGGTTCAAAGCTCAGTGGGCATTTGCATCGGCGCAGTCAGCAGTCGGCAAAAGCCGGAAGCAAGAGCAACCAAGTCTGAACCCGAGGCTAACGGCTTGCCTCCGACAGATGTGGAGATGACGACGGATGTCTCCAGAGATTTTGGGCTTCATCTGGACATGTGTTGTCACCGTGCCATTGGAGTAGTTTGAGTTTGAGGTGCATGAAAGGCGCCTAGCCCACTGCTGACAATCACTTGCTCAGTGATCGAAGGAACAGGCGCGGTCACCAGCTGCTCCGACCACGGGCAGTGAGACGGCGGACGAGGCCGCGCGCTTCTTCCGATGGAGTGCCGAGAGTCGTTACATTATTTACATTCGTGACTGCGAGGCGAGGGCCTCGCAGGCCGCCGAATCGGTGCAGGCCACGGTTTTCCAAGATGTGGTCCCTGCTTTGCAGAGTCTGGGTGGGGTTTGGAAGGTCTTGCAGGTTTCAAGCTGTCAGTGTGTGGCTAAGGCCGGGGTTTTCTCTGCTTGTCTCCCTTCATGTGGGATTTGTTTGGTGTACCTACAAAACTACATAGTGTGACGATGTGGCTATGTATTTCGTCACTTCTGGTCGACAGGGAGACGCGACTTGCGACGATTCGGGTTGCAAAGAAAAGTTTCGAGGATTTCGCAGTACGAGCTCAGAAAGCCAGAACATCCAGCACGATGTGCAATTTCTGTCGAACGGCATTTCTGTCGAACGGAATGCTTCTTTGCCAGGCAGAATCTCGTGCGAGCGCAAAGGGCAAAAAATGGGCCCCGGTTCGCCGCTTGGCCTGCAGCTTTTGCATTGGTGTTCGCCGGCCCCTGGTAGGTTTGGAGCAACCTTGAGCAACCGAGGCACGGCCTACATTATCAATGGCGGCTTGCCTCAGACATGGCTCGGTAATGTGTGGCCGCGTCCACAGGGAAATAGCTGGCGGACAGATACGGCAGGATACGGTTGCTCGGGACAGTCCGTCCAGCCAAGGAGCACGTGTTGATGTGGACTATGGCAGATCTTCCAATGCCCCTCCCCCGATGGCACCCAACGCAGCGCGACGTGGGAATTCTTTCGCCAGCATCAATGATTTTCCCGCCGTGCCCTTACTCAAGGTGGTGTGCGAGAGATGTGACAGATTAGACAGCTTCTCTAGTTCTGTCAATGAAAGCATCTTACGTCGAGAACAAGATGCAGCGAATCCCCAAGGGCCACAAACCTGCCAGGTCCTTTCACGTCCAATCGTTGAAACTGCGCCTCAATGGGTGCCCAGGGAAGAAAGAACTCAACCCAGATGCAGCGCGAGAACGGTGTGAGCAGGGAGGCCACCTGAGCATGTACACTTTGCCGTCAGCAGATCGAGGAAACAGCCATGCAGACCATCCAAACTGGCACCGATGCATCTTGGATGAGCACAGAGCCTACGTTGACTCGAGTTCTGCAATCTGATGGCTGTGTCGAGGCCGACTCGACGAGCGTGGCGGGCGTTATCAGCTTCGTGAATGCCGAGAGTTTGCCTCCAGAGGTGAGGCGCTTCAACTGCCACATCTTCGTGCCTCTGCTTCTCACGTGCGCAGCTCATTTGGGCCGGGGCCAGAGCTGGGAAGCTTTCATAACCGCCTCGTTCAGGTTGCTGATGCTGCCTTTCGTGATCATGAAGAGCGGCATCCTGTCTGTGCTCCTGGACTCCCCCGGGGGCATCTCGAGCTCGAAGGTGATCACCCGGATCACTTTCTAGGCACTCGAGCGGCTTGCAGAGCAGTTGGGACCTTGGATTTGTGCTGCAGCTTTCAGGGGTTAAGATGCAAACTGGATCCCACTTTTCTTGCCACATCTCGCCTCCAGCCTTGCCTTCGCTCACGTGTAGCAGCGTGTTTCAGTTTAAAGCAGGCGGGGGTTGTAGGATTCGGATCTATGGGCTAGCATTACACGAGCCAACAGGAGGTTCAAGCAGCAACAGCAGCAGCAGTAGCAGGCACGGAGACACTGGGGAAGCACCGGCGACCGTCACGGAGAGACATGTAGCCCGACACAGGTTGCTGACATCGCGGCTACACCCCCCCCCAAACGGATACCGCTGAGACAAAAACTGAAGAAGATGCATCACAAAAACTGAATAACCCAAGCAAGGCAAAGCTTGTAACCTTAACGACCTTGTGCCTGTTGTTTTAGAGTTGGTCGGGGCCTCAGAAGACTGTCAAGCTACAACACTTCCCCCCAGAACGCAAACACTCCTCCTGCCATTGTTGGGCTTTGCTTCATTTGTTCCAGCTGCGCCGGGGGCTTGCAAACCTTACTTTTCAGGGGCATCCACGCAAACAGTGTGTATATGCTTTATTACTTTGTTATAGGTCTGTAGCTTAGCTGGTTGTCAACGTGGGGACCACAACACTCACGTTGCACACAACCCCGACTGCTGATGCCTTTACTTTAAATTGTTGTTTGGTATCGGGTGATGTATGATATTTCGTCGGTGTCCACAACACTGCCCAGAGATCCAGTCTTGGGTTGTATTTCTATGGTATCGGTACATGAGATCATATCCGGTACGTTCCTGTTCCCAGTCACTTCAACAAGCCCCATAATATATTGGGAGCGTTGGTGGCCAGGGGGCTTGAGATGCTCCCTATGCCCTGTAGAAGAAGAAATAAAGAAGCATGTAACGAAAGAACGAACCAAATAACGAAATAATAAGATAAAGAAATAGAGATCGAGCGAACTAAAGAAAGAACGAAAAAAATAAAGGATCGTATAACCACACATGACAATTTTACTCGTGCGCCAACTGAGTCCAAAGAATCATGGCAGCGAAACGCGTGCATATGTGTGTGTGTGTCTGTCTGTCTGTCTGTCTGTCTGTCTGTCTGTCTGTCTGTCTGTCTGTCTGTCTGTCTGTCGGTGTGCTTTGGTTGCGTGGACCCGGCAGCTGCAATGGGCCCACAACCATGCGCA